TAATAAAATATAAAATATAATAATAAATATAACTAAATAATAAAATATAATAATAATAGAAATATTATTACAATATAAAGAAAATCGTAAAAACAAAAATGTAATAATAAATCTATAATTTAGATAAGATATCAAGATATTGTTTATACTGTATTCATATGCAAGACAAAAAAACAATACTATGCTAACTAGAGATAGGTTTTATATGTACACTTTATTACAAATTTTTATATAAAAAAAAATTTATTTAAGTTTCAAGATTTATTTAAAAGTTTATCTTCATTTATTATATATAGTATTAAAGCAATTATTAAAATATTGTTTAGGTATATATAGGTGTCTAAATTATTTTTCTCATAGTGTAAGTTAAATAGTCAAAATTAATTTTGACTATTTAAATCATAAATATTTTAGTCTGTTAAAAATAATTTATTTCATCAAAAATAATTTAGATTATTAAAAATTTTAGATTGTTGAAAATATTTAGATTGTTAAAAATAATTAAGATCATTAAAAATATTTTAGATTATTAAGACTACTAATTATAATTATATGTTAGCATTAGTAGTTAATTTTTGTTTCATAAGTATGCATAATATACAGTACTAAATTTATATTTATATGATTATTTATTTATATAATTTCAATAAAAAAATAGCAATATACATGAAAAGAAATATAGTATTATGATATATAATAATATATAATAATAATTCAGAAGCTAATAGTTACTATATATCTGATGAATTTGATATGAATAGTGAAGAGAATATTGAAAAAGATAAAGCAAATAATGTGAATAATAATATAAAAGATGATAGAGTGAATATTAGAATGAAAATTGAAGAGAAAAAAGTAAAAGATAATATAATTATCATAAAGAAGAATAATAAAGTAAAGAAGGATAAGATTATTAAAATAAAGAATAATATGAATAGTAAAGTTATGGAGAAGGATAAGATTATTAAAATAGAAATAATATAAATAGTAAAGTTATAGAAAAAGATAAGAAGAGAATAATATAAATAATAAAGTTATAGAGAAGGATAGGATTATTAAAGTAAAGAATGATATGAATAGTGAAATTATAGATGAAAGATATTTTTTACATATTTATGAATAGATTAATAATAATAATTCAGAAGAATACAATTCATCTATTTCATATAAGTTTAAATTACTTATCAGAGAAACTTGTGATAAATTCAAAGTATTAAAGTTTCATAAAAAATGTAATAGCAAAAATCTAATAAAAAAATAAAATTAAAGAGAAACTAATACTTTAGTAGATTTAAAAATAAAAGATATAAATAAAATTTTAGATAGTTACAACTATCTAAGTTAGAATTAGAACAAAAAAATAAATATCATTAATCAAAAGACAAATAAGAGTTTTTTTTTTTATTATTAAGGCTATTTTTTTAGCTAATTAGATTTTATTAATTTTTATTATGAAGTTATATATATAATAATCTTATAAGGGTCTGGTGATCTTAGTATAGTAGTTAGGTTGCCAGATCACCATGCAAAAGGTCTGGGGTTCAAATCCTACTGTTGACAAATTTGAATAATTACCTGAACCTTTGTACTCAATTTACAGTAAACTC